TGGAGATATTGTTTGTGTTTTAAATTAATAATCTGCAGTAAATAAACAGCAGGCGGATATTAAAAAGACACAGTGACTACCTGTCTTCTGTCAAACTGGCAGATAGGTTTTGGCTCAGCCTTGGAGAACTCGAACACGGTTATGTTGTGCACACGCACACACACATCACCTCCTTCACTTTTCTTGGCATTCTTTGGTCCCTGTTGTTGTGTACGCTGATTGGACCATGTGGTTGCCATGCGGCTGCCAGGCCGCACCCCTGCTGTGCGGTAATTGGTGTCTGTGGTGTTGCCGCGTGGCGACGGTGGTTTGACTGACAGGTTTGGCCACCTGCCCTGCCCTAGCTGCCAACATGGCGTGGAAGTGTGTGTGTGGGGGGATTAAGGGAGGAGGTGGCACAGATGAGCAAGGGGTGAGCTCTCGACATGTCACGGAGGGAGCATGGGATGGGCTTGGATATCTGATAATCAAAGATGGACTGAGCTGAAATGTTGGGCAGATGCTAGGGTTGGGCAATATTGGCAAAAAAATTAATCACGATTAATTGTGGTATTTAGCCGATAACGATTAATTTGACGATTAATCCCCTGGAGTCCATGGACACCCTTATGTCCTGGTCACATCACCAATTTAGTGGGAAAGATTCGTAAAAATCTGTTTCAAATTGTGTCAAAATTACCGACTTCAGGCTATACATCAATTTTTAAATTGTGTTGATAGATAAATAAATTACAGAACCTTTTCTTAATGTTTGTCATATTTGAAGTGGAGAGGAGCATCGAGCGAACTGATGGTGGCATTAATCATATTAATCGTCAAGTGCCAAAAAATAATCGATTAATGTTTTTCTGACAATTAATTGCACACGATACGATTATGCCCAACCCTAGCAGATGCAAAGCAAACTACAGTAAAATCAACAACCTTTACACAAAGCATCATTGGTGATGGACTCTGGCTTCTCCTTGCTAATTCACCACAGTGATCAAGCAAACAGAGTTGTAAGATTTTGGATTAAAAAACATCTTTGTTTCTTTAATCTTTAATATAATAGAAAAATCAATGTTGTAACCAAAAAGGGCAATATTTTGTCTCGAAAAGGAATATATTTCTGATGCACTACCAGTTGTTGTTTAAAGAAGTAGAATAAGCTCTTCATCTTTAGGTTCTGTAGGTTTCAAACTACTGAATGGTCTGAACTCACCATACAGGCTGTATATATTGTACTGTTAATTAATGAGTTTGATTTGAAGGGATTGCAGTTTATTTTTGATTTTTATTTTTTGACACTACAAAGTTGTGACTCCTTACATTGGGGATCACAATGAAAAAATGCAGATTGAAGTTTGTTTTTGTGGCTCTTTGCAATTTTGTTGTTATAAATGTGTAGATATTTGATGAATTTCTTCTTGAATTCTGCAAATTGTTTTCAGTTAGATTATCTGAATGAATATACCCCTTTGTCTTGAATTAAATTCTTCAAAACAACCACTCCTATTTTGTCTTCATGCAATAAGCAATAAGCGATTAAATTAACAGAAAAAAATTGTCTTGTATGCGAAAATATTTTTGTTGAAAAACTCAGATAATCAGCTATATCAGGATGATGAGCTGTAGCTGGATCAGATTTGTTTGGCAGTAACTTAACAATACAAGTAAATAACCCCGAGACTTGCCACCTGATTTAAATTCATGTTATAAAATGTTTTCCACACCAAACAATTGAGAAAAACACAAAATGAAATATGAGTTGAAATGAACTGAAGCTGTTTTCATGTTTGGTTTTGTTACTTTCTAATCTAAGTATCTAGAAGAGTGTGTTTTTCCTTATTTAGGACAATTATACTGTAGTAAATCCTGTTTGTATGAATGATAAAAAATAATTAAAAAAATAATAAGAATGACAGCTGAATGTTCTTCGATTATGTTTAGCTTTTATTTTGTCTTAAATCTTTGTGCGCGCTTGTCTTCTGTTTATATTCGCCTAAGTTTCAGCATAACAAAGCTAAAAAACACATTTTAACTTATTGCAGATAAGTTTTTACTCTTAGCTGAGTGATCTGTGTTGCATTTATTTATGTCACCTTTGTCCCATTGTTTCTTTTTAAGTGGCACCTGTGCAGAAATATTTATTTTTAACTCAGACCTATGCCAAATATGAGCATGCCAGTAGTTGAGTCACATTTCACAGAATATTTTTTGTCTAAAAGTGTTTTAGGAATATGAGCAATAAATGAGAACCTGAAAAGCATACACATCTGTATTCAACATACTGTTTTAATTTTCCTGTCCTATTTAGCTGTTGTTTTTCCAATTTTTTTTTCCACCTAGATATTTATTGATACTCTGCATGTTTCTTACTGTGCTCCCCAGCTCCACCTGCTCCTCTGTCATCTGCTCATTGTTCTTGTTCATCCCACTTGTTCTCCTCCTCTGTTGTGTTTTACACACGTTGGTGTTTTTAATCGCGCTGGGTGTAAGGCCATAAGGCAAACTGATGTCACAAAAGAAAGACTTCGGTTTTTGCACACTACCACCCACCCTCACCATTGTCATGTATAGTGTTGCTAATCCAGCCCTGTTGCTGCAGTATCAAACATAACTTCCATTTGGAGTGAAAGAGCACCTCTTTTACTCCCAGTTTGTGTGTGTGAGCACACACTGACTGGTGCATTAATGGGCCTGGTCAAGATCTTGTACAGTGGGCGGTGCTGGCTTGGGATGCTTGTTTAAGTGTTGAGATGGAGAAATGGGGATTGACTTGACAGGTCAGTTCAAGCCTCTTGTTCTGTTTACACACACACACACACACACACACACACACACACACACACACACACACACA